TTCACCCTGAGTCAGCTGACCGACATCTCAGAGCTCTGACTCTGTGACAGCTCCAACAAATGGCACTCGGATAACGGTATCTCCTTTGTACGTGCGCTCTGCTTCTCCTTAATAAAAATAATCATTGGTTAATTAATTTATTGCTTGGCGATACAAATGATTCAATAAAAAAAAAAAAAAAAAAAAAAAAAAAAAAAATAAAAAGAAAAATAAAAAGAAAAAGGTGTTATTCGTTATACATGCGTATATATGTATATTTTTTTTTTTTTCTTAATTATCAGAGCTCTTAATTGATTGAAAATTGTATTTTCTTTTTTTGGACAGATTCTTTGTTTACTATTCGAAGCATTAACAGGATTAATGAGATACGAAAAATTTTGTATCGACAAATATATACATATATATATATATATATATATATATTTGTTTTTTAAATTATTTGTTTAATTAATTATTAGGATTGCATTCTCCTTCTCTCTCCTTTTTTGTATGTTCTTTGTTTACTATATGAATCATTATAAAAATGTGATTGGGATTTATATATGGAAATTCAATGAACCAACCATTATTATTATTATTATTATTATTATTATTATTATTATTATTCGACGTATGTACCTTTCTACGGAATGGAAAACAGCCTCTGTTCTCGTTGCTCTGCGGTAGATAATTTATCAATAAGTCTGGAGTAGGCGTGTTGTTAGGACCTAGCACATTGAGTTCCTTAAAACACTCAGTCTCTATCATCTATAAGAATAAGAAAAACAGAATTTCCTTATAATAAAGAGTTTTGGTCATTCCCTTATGACCAATGAATACCGACATGAATGATCTTTATGACGTGTCGTCACTTAAATATACGAGAGTCAAAGGTTTGGCATTTTTATTGGTAAAGGTCAAAGGTAATCAACCATATAAGTCTCTTCTTTGGCACAAACACTTTGTTTTAGTAGTCAGTCACGATATCATGAAAGTATTATAGAACGGGATTTGTGTGTCGAGTATGTTTGAATTGTTTTTTTTTTTTATTCTTCTGTTTTTTTCTTTTTTTTTTTTTTTTTTTCTATATGACTGCTTACCTCGTTTTGCCAAGGAATGGATACGCTTCCCGTGTTAAATTTACTGTAAAAGGTGTCGTCCGTGGCATCGAGATTAACACCTTTCACCGTTGAGAATTGCTCGATGTCTAGGACGTCTTTAGCGTAGACAGCGTGAGGCTGAAATAGGATGACTTTTCTTTTTTATTAAGAACATTAATTTAGATTAGGTCAAAAAATATCGATAGATTTATTTATTATACATAAAAATTGAATCGTAAAAATGTAAATTTAATCGACTTGATTAAATCAAATTAATATAATGAGGAATATTAAAAATGAAAAGGTGTGGATGATATAAGAATAGAGAGAGAGAGAGAGAGAGAGGGAGGGGGGAGGAGAAGAAAGAGAGAGAGAGAGAGACAAAGAGAGAAAGAGAAAGACAATCTATCACGACACCTACTCACATCCGGCACAAATGGCGGTTCCCACATACCAGCCTCGACCCTCTTCCAGTTTAAGCACTGAAAGAAACTATGAAGTTTGACCTCCTTCGCCCCATGCCTGCCGCACTTGCAGCCCAATCTGTTTTTCGGACTTTTCTTGAGTAACTGCTGACAAAGGCTCTTAGCTTCCTCGGTGAATTTGGTGGAATACCTTTCTTGATCTTCTTTAACTCTTCTGTCAACTTCCTCGCGTTTAACCTTTTCTTTTCTTGCTCTGAATGGAGCTTGACCCTCGATCATTTCGTAAAGAAGACAACCGAAACTGAACCAATCAGGTGAAAATGTATATTTCTCGTTGTCTATCACTTCGGGTGCCATATAACCAACAGTTCCAACTCTACCGCGTACCATATCACCCTCGGTAATCTCTACAGCTAGGCCAAGATCAGATATCCTAACATGGCCATGATCATCGAGTAATATATTCTCTGGTTTACAATCCCTATAAACAATACCTTGAAGATGCAAATGTTCCAAACCGCATACCACCTCAGCAGCATAAAATCTAGCCCTGTTAATATCGAAACCAGGCTCACCGCCCATATTGTAAATGTGAAACTTCAAATCGCCCCCATTCATAATCGTCAAAACAAGACAGAGGGCATCCTTAGTCTCATATGCATAGGCTAACGAAACAACGAACTTAGAATTGATCTTCTGTAGTATATTCTTTTCAATCAGTACCATAGCCTCTCCCTTTCTCTTCTTTATCCTCTTCTTCTCGAGTTTCTTACAGGCATACATCTTACCGGTCGCTCTGACCTGGCAGGCACATACCTCACCGAAACCACCTTTACCAAGGACTCTATACATACGGAACGTCTTGTAGGTTACCGGTTGAGCCTCCAACCATTTCCATTGGAGATATCTGAAAGACATAGAGATAATTTAGATCCGACCTCGCGTGTCTTACCCTGGCATCTATTCTAAAGGTTACAATTATTACAACCAATGTTTATATATTATAATCGATAATAATTTTTTTTTTCTTTTCCTTTTTTCTTTTTTGTTTCTTTTCTTTTTTTTTCCTTTTTTTTTTTTTTAACTTTTTATTTTTTTCTTTTTTCTTTTTTTCCGAAACGAGCATAAAAAAGATTTATTGGTCAACGAGATAAGAATAATTTTGTTTTCAAGGGAATCAAGTCAAAAGTTTTACTTTGTACCTGTAAAAATAGAAACTGGTTTGAAAGGCCGAGAATGGTTCGCCAGCGAGAAAATTTTTCACAGTTTGTGCGATCTCGACGAACAATTCTTTTTCACCGGAGGTTAATCTCTGCTCGCATTGTAATATCAACGAATCGTTCAATATATCAACAATTTCGGAGCCTTCGCGTTTCAGGTACTGTTCGAACAAATCCTTAGCTAATTCCATACGATTTTCATCCATCTCGATCTCGTATTTTTCAATTGCATCCAGGAAAAGATTGTATTGATGATAGGCCGGTTTCTTGTCCTGGCAAAATTGCCTGAAGAGAAGCCTTCCGATTGGTTGCTGATCCACGACATACCCGTACCTAATGTCTGATAAAAGGAACAAAAAAAAAAAAAGGAAGAAAAAAAAATAGGAAAAGAAAGAAAAAAAAAAGAAAAAAAATGAAAAAAAAAAGAAAAAGAAAGAAAGAAAGAAAATTTTATCATTCATTTATTAACCCTTAAAATGCATATTATGAAATAATAATAATGATAATAATAATAATAATAATAATAATAATAATAGATTTATGTATTGTGGATGGCTTTATCAATAATCCCATTAAAACTACTTCGTTTGATAGTACGACGTAACAATTATGCGAGTTTCTCTGAGGTTAATAATTTCAATGTAAACAATCATTGCAATTTCGTATTCGACTTCGCTCGAGAGAAATTTATGGGGAAGGACAACGCCAATGTAAACGAGCTTTTCCACGCGTGAAATACATACTCCCGTAAAGAGAGAGAGAAAGAGAAGAGTAGATACTAATTACACATCTAACTATATATATGTAATGTGTGTATATGCTTTTGTGGATATATATATATATATATGTATCTATATATATGTGTGTATACTTTTGTACATGTATATGTACATGTATATAAGTATACATATTATGTATATAAGTACATATATATATATTAAGAGGATGACAAAAGTAGAACGCGAGATTATTCGACATGGTCATAACAAATATTTATATGGAAAATAGGAATAAAAACATTCCAACTCATTTGGATAATGTGATTAAATTTTATCGATGTTCGTGGTTCAGATAAATCGAACTAAACGAAACACGAGTTATTTCTTTTTTTCTTTTTTCATTATATTTGAAAATATTATAATTTTTATTTTTTTTTTTTTTTTTTTGAGGCTTGGGAATAAAATTATAGTGGATATAAATAAGAAATATGTGTGATAATTATTATGTCGAGAAATATTTTTGATATTTCCAAATTTTCTTTATATATATATATATATATATATATATATATATATATATATATAAATTCTTTTAAAAATAAAATTATATAATCGATATAAACGAACAAATATTTGTTATATTTGACTACGTTTACTAAAATTTTACAAATAAAATTACAATCGTTATAATAAATATAATAAATATACCGAGTAAATATTTGTTAATACTTAAAAATATATAAAATCAATCAATATTATAATTAATATTTCTACGACCATATACGAATATTAAAAAAAAAAATATCTATTTCTCAAGATACACTATCATTAATCTTATTTTCATTTTTAAATAAATAATAATTTGAATGATCCTTTACAAGGTACGGGGTTTCGGTAAGATTCAATAATCTCGGGCGAGGTCAACGAAGGGTCACACGTTGATTAACCACGAGAAGCATCGATGAAAGAGGGGAACCATCGCTCTGGAGGAATATTTTATCATCAAACGTAAAGAGGAGAGAAAGAGAGAAAGAGAGAGAGAGAGAGAGAGAGAGAGAGATACACGATGTGTCCTACTTTGACGAAATGAAAGTTCCTACTGTTGGACACGTTAGAAAAAACTCGTGAATTGTTAAGCCATAATAACTGATATGTTGATCTCTATCTGTCGAATTAGCATAAAATATGTATCTCAAAATAAATGAGATATCTCTATAGACATAATTTTTATATAGAACTTTATACAGATTTGTTTTAATCAAAGGAGATAAATATTTTTCGAAAAAGTGCATGAGTGCCGTACGACAATCTTATCTATCCGTCGAATTAGCATAATATAAGTTTTCCCGACAAAAAAAAAAAAAAAAAAAAAAAAAAAAGAAAAACAAAAGAAAAGAAAAGAAAAAACGAGACATCTGTACGCACGCAAATTTTATACGAGAATTTTTTGTTGTTGTCTTCGTTGAATCAAAAAAGATAAAAATTTGTTGAAAAAGCGGATATTAATATATTTGACATAACTATTTATTACTTGTCAAATTAAGATAAAATATGTCTCTCGAAGAAATGAGACATCTCGTATACGCGACAGTTTTACATAGAATTTTCTACGAATTTCTTTTCTTTTTCTTCATATTTAAAAAGATAAAAATTTATTGAAAAAAAATGAATGGAACCATTTGACATACCTAATTTATCTTTTAGGCCGATGCATTGGGAAATATGTGGAAACTGAAGTATCTTCCGCCATTTCTTACTCTTTCCTTTGTTGCTGTCACCACCGCCTAAAAAAGAAAGAAAGACAGAGACAGAAAGGGAGATATACATTTATATATTAAAAATAAAACGATTAAAAAAGATACATAAATAAAAATAAAAATTATAAAATACTCTCGATTTCGAGAATCAAATTATTAGCCAAATATTTTTGATTTATTCGAATATTCGAAATAAGAGATCTTGAATTATTTCCAAAAAAAAAAAAAAAGAAAAAGAAATAAAATAAATAAAAAAAAAAGAAAAGAAAAGAAAAAAAAGGTTGCAAGATCTCATAAAACTCGCAGTCAGAAAATATTTACAATTTATTCGAACATACAAATGAACATCGACGTATGCATGCACGTATAGTTCGGTCTTATATCGAACGTTATAATAATCTATAACTATAATAATCGACAAACTAATCGGAATACATGGTATCGACGTTGGTCGAACGATGGCGGTGGTTGAGGCGTGCCACCGGGTCTCATCTGGGAAGGCCGTAATTACTAGTTTCGTAATTAGCACAAAGTGGAAATAACGTTGGGTTTAATATGACGTCCGATAAATGGACTCAACTATTAATATGTATACCGTACAAAGCCGTACATTTTACAATCTTTCTCTTTTAATAATAATAGTATTTCGTAAATTCCCCTTCTTCCTTTTTTTTTTTAACCTTCTTTTGTGTCTAGTATAATCGGATTAATGAAATCGCTTTTTCTCATTCGTCGTATTTTTTTTTACCTTTTTTTTTCCTTTTTTTTTTCTTTTTTTAATTTTATTTTATTCTTCTAAACGACACGCGATTATAGGCTTACACGAGACGTTCGATATTGAATTTTTTCTTCGGGTTTATTTAATATTTTTTAACAGATTTTATTCTTCATTCTTCTTCCTCTCTATTGTTGTATAATAATTTTATTTTTAATTTTTCAACTTGAAATGAAAAATAAAACGAGAGATGCCAGGCGAATAATCGTTTGGATATTTATGTTTATTTCTCCCCCTCCCCACTCCCTTCATTTCTCTTTATAAATTTTTACAAGAATTTCAATCAAACAACAATGAAAGAAAAGCTCGTAATATAATACTTGATTTAAAGAACATTTTTTTTTATCTCTACTTTTATATGAATAAAAAAAAAAAATCTGAATGAAAACAAAAAAAGAAATAGTAAACTAAATTGTCAACAATTGTTTTTAATTTATGTTAATTATATTCTTTTACATTTAATTATATTAGAACAACGATGAAACGAAGCTCGTAATCCAATATTCGATAAAGTAACTGATCAAAGTTCCTCTTTGAAAAGCACTATCTCATCAAAATGAATATATGAAGGCTTTCTAAATCATTTAACTTTTTGGATATACATCACAAGCGGTATTACGTTTTATACATAATATAATTTGAATTCAAAGTACTAAGGTGAATTATAAAAATCGATTAAACTTTTAAGAGATCTCTTAGGCCAATTACAACTTTACATTGTAAAATTATAAGCTATGACTTTGTAAAGCGACTAATAGTAATCCCCCCCCCAAAAAAAAAAATATCTATAAAAAGAATAATTGATCTTTAATATCTTAGGATTCAAATCTTAGTTCTTTGGATCTTTTGGCCCACCCTATATCTTTCACATGATTCGTTATAGAAATTATAAAAAAATTGATGACGTATTCTCCTATGACTCTGAGATCATACCAACGCATATAACTTTCTATATATTATGTGACCAATGTTCGTTCATCTATCTTTGTAATTAATCTAAATGACCGAGTAAAACTATAAAATAACTAAGTTCTTATTAGATAAATTCAGAAAATGAATCTAGATTGTATTGCGAATATTCTATTCCGAAAAATTTCTAATCGATATATGATTATAATAAATTAATAATAATAATAAAAATAACAACAATAATAATAATTATAGTAATAACCAACAATAATAATTTATAAATATAGAAATTGTAATATATATATTTGCATTCCTTATTTCTAAGAATAGATATATGATTATAATAAATTAATAATAACAATAACAACAATAATAATAATTATAGTAATAACCAACAATAATAATTTATAAATATAGAAATTGTAATATATATATTTGCATTCCTTATTTCTAAGAATTTCTAATCCAAATATATATATATTCTATATAATTTTGAAAAATATAAAATTTGATTAAAAAAAAAAAAAAAAAAAAAAAAAAAGGAAAATTGAAATCATTGAAAAAGATTTCACAATGCAATTTGAATTATCCATCAAAGCCATTCGATTCGTGCGTATAAAACTTTCATATTCGTAAAATATCTGGATATATATAACTTAACTGGTTTTCGATTTCAAATTGAACACGTTCTATAGAAATCGCATTGATGACGTTGAAAGATTTTATCGATACGTGTGTATGTGTATGTGTATTAAATCCAAGCGAAATAACTAACATAAATAGATAGAGAAATACACATACACACATATCACATATATACACACATATATTATACCTATATACACATAGATATGTTGTTATCGAACAAGAATCTCGATTTTCTTGGCTATCTTTTGAAGATTTTCTCGATATCGATACTCCTTCAAGAAGAAAAACGAAGAAAAAGTAAAAGACTCTAAGAAATAAAATGAGAGAGGGAGAGGAAAAGAAAAAGAGAATAAGAAATTGAGAGAAACAAAGAGAGAGAGAGAGAGAGAGAGCGAGAGAAGAAGTTGAAGTTAAATTTAAAGGTAAAACTTGAAAGATGTAAATCAAACGTTCGTTCAATTTCTCGAAACATTTATCACTTTTGTCTCGTGCTAGACACCAATTAGTAATGAAATTGCCATTTCTTGTAATAAAAGACATTATTTTCTCTCTCTCTCTCTTTTTCCCCTCTCTGTCACTTTATTCTTTACATGTTTTTTATTATTTTCATTTTTTATTTATTTATTTAGTTATTTTTTTTTTTTTTTCAGTAAAAATGTAATAAGAAAATAAGGAAAAGGTGGATAAAATTGAAAAGAAGAGAAAATAGAAATTGGATTCTGCGATATTATATAAAATGAATAATAAGAAAGCCAAAGACATAATTTATTTCTATCTTTCCCTATTTCATACACAGAGAGAGAGAGAGAGAGAGAGAGGGGGGGGAGGAGGTAGAGAGAGAGAGAAAGAGAGAGAGAATATTTCTCAATATTATATTCGAAAATTTCCTTTGACTCATTTTTATCGTTCTAATGTTAAACATTTTTTCCAGCTTTTCTGTAGCAAACGAAATGCGAAGAAAAGTGTTCGCTCTACGTCATACATATAACCATGTAGTAGCGCGTTAGATGCGCGTGTATATATGTGTATAGTGTATGTGTATATATAAATTTCATTTAAACTTTTCTCTATTTCGTTTCCCTACGCTCGTTCATTTTTCCTCTCTCGCAAGTAGTATATCTTCCTCGCTCGAGCGACGTGTCTCGTTCGATTCATTTTAAATGCGACACGAGACGTACCCAAAGAGACATTTATTTCTTTCTTTCTTTCCTTCCTTCCTTTCTTTCTTTATTTTTTTTCTTTCTTTCTTTCTTTCTTTCTTTCTTTCTTTCTTTCTTTCTTTCTTGTGGAACCGACAGAACGGCGACCACGACGTTTATTGAATTTTTAGTTCTTTCCATCTTTCTTTCTTTCTTTCTTTCTTTCTATCTCTCTTTTTGTTTCTTCCTTCCCTTCTTTCTTTCTTTTTTTTTTCTTCCTTTTTTCCCCTTTTTATTTACTTTTTTTATTTACTCTTTTTATTTACCCTACGTTCCTCTTTCCTTCGCTCTTTTGTTCATCATTAAATCGAACGTAAAATTTACTATGAATAAATCGATTGATTGATTTCAATTAGATTTGGATACAAAATAATCCAAAAAATAAAATCAATATTAATTACGTACAACGGAATAGATTGAATTTATTCGATAATGACGAAAATTATGGTTAAATTTATAATATGATATTTGATATGACATTAAGTATGACTATAATGAACAACATATTTTTTATATGCAACTTAATATAATATAGTATATCGATATAATGATACTTTTAATACAATTTTCGTATGATACATACAGTATCATTATAGTGGGGAATATGTTTATATAACGAGACAATATGATTACTATGTTCAACGTGATTATATAAAAATAAGTATATAATATCGAATAGTATGTATCGATGTAAATTCTCCAAAAAAAAAAAAAAGAAGAAAAAAAAAAAGAAGAAAAAAAAAAAAAAAAAAAAGAAATAAAAAATAAAAAAATTGTACTACTTAATACAGGATTAATATAATAAATGACTATATTATTACTCGCTTGTATTTTTCTTTTCTTGTCTTTTTTTTTTTTATTTTTTTTTTTTAGATATGATCTATGAACAAAAGAAAATAATAAAAGGAAAAAAAAAGAGAGAAGAAAAAAAGAAATTTATCGATCCGACACTTAAATTTTTGCCCAAGACTCTTGCCCTCCTTTTGAAGAAATAAGAACGACGCGCAAAAAATAAAAATAAAAATAAATAAAGAACTAAAAAGAAAATAAATTTAAAGGAGAAATAATAATATAATAATAGTTATGCGCTAAAAATAGAAGTAAGGAAAAAAATCTGATGGAAGAGAGAGAGAGAGAGAGAGAGAAAGAAAGAGAAAAAAGAAAGGAAGAAAAAGAAGGAAAAAGTAAATAAAAAGAAAATAAATAAGTAAATAAATAAACAAATAAAAAAGAAATTTGGAAATGCAATCCTTTTTTTTTCTTTCTTTTTTCCTTTTTGTCGAAATTGGAGAAAGAAATGTGAAATTTCAAGGATTGAAATCATTTCACCCTCCACCCCTTCTCTCTCTCTCTCTCTCTCTCTCTCTCTCTCTCTCTCTCTCTCTCTCTCTCTTCCTCGCTTCCACCTCATCTCGACTAAGACGATAATGATTTTCACGGAAATGAAAACTATTCATTGTATGTATGCATGTATGTATGTATGTATGTATATATAT